ATTTCCTTTGTAATCCTATATATTTTATTTTAAGCATTTAAAAAATATTTCTTTGAAAAGGGGATATAGGCTTTACCAAAGATAGGGAAGGGAATAAACATCTACATAGCACTTACTATGTGCCAAGCCTTATGCTAAGAACTTTACAATTATTATCTTATTTTATCTTCACAACACCCCTGGGAGGTAGGTGCAATCATTTACCCCATTTTACAGACATGGAAACTGAGGCAAACAGAGATTAAGTGACTTGCTCAGGGCCATACAGCTAGTAAGACTCTGAGGCCAGATTTGAAATCATGTTTCCAGGCCCTGGGCTCTATTCACTGTACCACCAGGCTGAAGAGGTCCAGGACACAAAAATGATTAAGAATCCCTGATCAAAAGGGATATTTGTACTGTTAGATGTGTACCATTTATACATGAAGGAACCATAGTTAATCAGAAGGATTAACTCTTCCACCATAAAGCACCCAGAATTTGTATGTTTAAGATATAAGGGGTATATCCCTCTTACTCCAGCTCCCTCAGAAACCCATGTCTTCTAGGGAGACACAGCATTCACAAAGTCTGTACCCCCCTTTCCAAGCTTTTGTTACAAAATGTCACCAGGACACATGAAATCAAGGCAGCAAAGGAAAGAAACTTCAAAAACCAGCTGTCTCTTTAGGTACTGTGAAGAGTATAACTTAAATCACAGAACTTTGAGGGGAAAGTCAAAGCCCCAGTTAAATTTTTAATAAACTAAAAAAAAAATAATAATGTTAAAGAACAGCCTGAAAGGTATGTTAGTAAAAGGACAGGCCCTCGGAATGGGATTCAACAAAGGGCAGCAACAACAGTCTTTGAGTTAGTCTCTGGAGAATTCTGTGGCCATTTCCCAAGTGACTTCTCTTCTTATTAAGCCCAAGGTGGAAGATGAAGAAACTTCAACAGTAAAGGCGAAAGCTATAGAGAGACCTCCTGGGAAATTTCCCGTCACACCTCTAAGACAAAAGAGTAGCACCTTCTTTCTGTCCTCTGGTTTTTTGTCTCTTACTATGGTTACTATAATTGCAGTGGAAGAATAGGGGTTGGAGTGAGTGGGGAAGGGACAGGGAGAGGAGAGATGTCTACCTCATCCTCAGGTCGCTTTGGGCCACCTGGCTAGTGTTCTAAGCAACACTGTCATCTGGATCTCCACAGAGATGCAAATTCTAGCTTTTGCAACCTGGCTTCTTGATCTCATCATTGCCCTGAAACCATTCTCTCCAAAGTTACCCATGAGCCCGTAATTGTAAAATCTAACGGCCTTCTCTCAGTCCTCCCCCTTGATCTCTCGGAAGCCCTGCCACTGCCGGCTGCCCCCTCCTCCTGGATACCTTCTTATCCCTGGGTTTGCGTGACACTGCTCGTGTTGACTTTCCTTCCATCTGCCCTTCTGTCTCCTTTGCAAGATCAATCAATTAATCAATGACTATTAACTGCCCACACTGTGCCAGGGATGTAAATACAAAAATGAAGCTGTCTTTGACCTCCAGGAGCTTATTCTAGTGAGAGGAAACTGCATTTACACGAAGGACACATAGAATAAAGGATAGGGAGAGGGGTTGGATCTGTGATTTTATTTGTATAGGGAATTTCCAGGTGAGGAAACTCCCTCTACTGATATAGGTCAGCATGTTTTTTACAACTTAATAGTCTTAGAGAACTGCTCAGAGAGATGAAAAGTGACTTGTTCAGGAGTGCACAGTTTGTGTCAGAGGGGGACTTGAACCCAGGTCTTCCTGCATATTCACATGCAATACTGCCCTTTTTAAACAGAATATATACAAAATAAATACAAGTCAACGAGGCAGCAGGCGCTGGGGGGAATTAGGAAAGCCATTATGTAAAAAGTGGTGCTTCTAAGCTGAGTAATGAAAGAAACAAGAGACCCCAAGAGATAGAGAGAAGGAGAGAGCATATTTCAGGGAACAGGGAAACCACAGCGAAGACTGATAAAGATGGAAGATGAAGTGTTGCACGAGGAACAGCAGGAAGAACAGTTTGGATGCAGTGCAGGTTGTGAAGGAGTCACCATTCATGCTATATCCTCTATTGTGGGCATGTAGTGCAAGGCTCTTTCCTGGGTCCTTTCTTTCTGTTTTGGTGAGCATCTCATCTTCCTTGGGTTTAATGATCACATCTATGCAGTTGAATACCAAATCTATATATTCAATTGGTCCTGGTCTCTCTCATGAGTTCCCAAACCACAATCCCTTAGATATTTTGTACTCTATAAACATCTCAAACTCAATGCCCAAAACTAAACTCATCATCTTTTCCTCTAAACCCTGCTCTCTTCTCCTCTATTTCTGCCAAGGGTATCACCAATCCAGTAGCTTCATAACTTTTATCATTCCTCACTCTAGATATCCAATCAGTCATCAAGTCTTGTTGATTTCAGCTGCACACCTCTCCTATGATGGCCTCTTCTTTCTATTCATACAGCCAACACCCTCACCCAACCCCTCATCACTTTTCACCTGGACTACTGCAATAGCGTCCTAGATGATATCCCTGCCTCCCGTCTTTTCCAATCCATCTGTCAACCAGCTCTCAAAGTGATACTTCTTTTTTTGCTTTCGAAGTGTTATTTCTAAAATATACTTCTAGCCATGTCACTCCCCTATTCTAATGACTTCCTCCATGACCTCTGGGGTCAAATATTAACTGCCTTTGTTTGGTATTCAAAGTCCTTCATAATCTGGTCCCAAACAATCTTTCCAATCTTGTTACATATTATTCCCCTTTACAAATCAGTCAAACTGGCTTTCTTGCCTTTTCTAATACATGAGAATCCATCTCCTTTCTATGGGCCTTCACACAGTCTCTCTCTCATGTTTGGAAAATGCTTTCTCTTTACCTGCTTCTTAAAATCCCTAGCTTCCTTCAAATAGGTAAAGCACCATCCCTTCTATATGGAACCTTTCATGATCTGTCCACTGTCCCCAGTTGCCAGTGCCTTCTCCATCATCATCTTATACTTATATATGTACTCTATGTGTGTATAGACATATATATACACACACATGTATATATACATACATACATACTTATATATAAGTATATGTGTGTATACATATATATACACACATATATACACACTATATATGTACATGGTGTCCCCAGAGGGTTCATTTCTCTCTGTATTCCCACCACCTTTAGTGCCCACAGACACTGAAGGAATGCTTGTTGATTAATGGATTGATGGGAACACTCAGAGAGAAAATAAGGTCTGAAAGGCTAAGGAAGGGGCACTTTTTGACTCCCTAGTGACAGATGCTCTAAAGATATCTAAATCTGGGATTGTTCCGTATTGTTATCTTCAGCCTTATTCTTAATCCAAACTCGCATAAGAACTAAATAATCTCTCTTCATTAATCATCCTGACGCTCCCCAGCCATTATGCAAAAACCAGCTCAGGAAATAAATGCCAGATGCATACACTGAAAGGCAATACACATATGGCAGCCATGCTAAGGCTAATCACAATCATGAAAGCTCTAAGGGATATATAATTATTGCAACCCAGACAGCAAAACCTAGGGCCACAATCTGTTGTGGTTGTTTTCTTCATTCCAGTGGGAAGAGAGAATTACCAGCTCAAGTAAGCATGTCTGTCCTATTCTTCTCTAGATCTCTTGGCTGGCTTCATTACTCTTTGAATTCCAATTCCTAGGTCTTAATTAGCATTCAATAGGGAACAAGAGGCCCTGACCCCCTGTGACTGAAGTGTTGCCAAAATGGGAGAAAGTTGACCAATATTCTACTAGCTCTATTATCTCATCAATTATGGGCACTCCTACCAAAGATGTGATCCATGCCTGCCCATCCTATGAAATTCTTGTCTATGTCTACCCAAAAATCTGCCATAAGGGAGATGGTATGTATGGACGGACCACCAATTGTACTTAGTTCTCTTGACACTGTGTGGCTACCAATGGATCCTTCACCCTCACTGTTTGATCAGCTGATCTTTTTTTCTGGTCATACATTTCTTTGATGTCACCCTATACACCACTACTTCCACGTAATTACTCATTTCCAATGTGCTGCAATATGCCCATCATACTCTTCTTCATTGCTCTTTTGGTGACTATCAAGTTTAATTTTTCAAAGACTGATAGATTTTATAACTTTTACCTATATAACACCACTGGAAGAATATTGGTGCTAAAAATATGGACCTGAGTTTCAGAAAGAAGGCTGTAGTCATATAGAATACCTGCATGATTTTTCAAAAGTGATCCAGCTCACATTCATCCTCTTACTCAACTCTAGTCTAGTTCGCTATCACCAATATCTGTCCAGATTTATGAACCAATGGATCAATATTTTAGTTGTACATCCAAATGTACTTCCTGGGCTAAATAGTATAAAAAAGCAGAAGCTTATTTATGTCACTGGGGAATACACAATTGAGCGTGTTTGTATCTTTTAAGGTTTAAGTTTTAATTTTTCTTGAGGGTCATAATGATAATAATAGTAGCTAGCATTCATATAGTGCTTTAAGGTTTGCAAAATGCTTTACAAATACCTCTTTTTATCTTCATAACAACCTTACAGGTAGGGTGCTATCATTATCCCCATTTTATAGATGAGAAAACTGAGAATGGGAAAGGTTAAGTGACATGCCCAGTCACATAACTAGTAAGTGTTTGACAGATTTCGAACTCAGGTCTTCCTGATTCCAAGCCCAGTCCTCTGTGCAACACTGCACCAATTAGGTACCTCTAGGCATCGATGAGATAAGAAAGGGACCATCATAAGCACATTACAGATGAGACTATATCCTAGAGAAGCTAATAGCTCTCTATGTGCTCCCACAGCTAGGTGGGAGACAGCAGACCTAGAATTAGAAAACCACTTCTTCTGATACCCATCTCAGTGCCTCACCTTACATGGAAGAAAGGTCCTTCTGGCATGGGGTAGCACCAAAGGCTGATGCCTGAGGTTACAAAAGGGCAGCTTCTTACCTGGAATGTTATGGACTGTTATGGCTAAAATGAGCAGCAGGATTCGTCTCCAGCTATTGCTGCCCTGCTTTCCTCTGTTCTCTCTGGGAGGCCGGGAGGATGCAGAGTCATCAGACATGCCGGTAGTGGTCACTTTCTTCCTAGGGTAAGCTTCTCCATTCTCACTCTTGTCTGCGGAGAACAGAAGGGCCAAGAGAGAGGTCAGATTGAAAATGAGCATGGCTGTACTCTCTCCAAACAACAGTAGGAAGAGGTTAAGGGGAATCTGAAGGAAGGAAGAAGGGAAAATGTTCTATTTCTATTCTATTTTCTTCTTTCCTAAGAACCTTACATTTATTGATGTAATCATTTCTGTAAGCAAAAATGTTTATCCAGTCCCTATTTTTTATTCAATATTGTATAAAGAGAATAGACTATTCTTCCACCCAAAAGCATTTATCATTTCTTTCAGTGTGGACAATCGCTAGAAGCAGGGAAGTTAATGATGATGATGACAGTTAGTATTTATATAGTGTTTTAAGGTTTGCAAAGTGCTTTACAAATATTAACTCATTTTATACTTAACAATTCTGGGAAGTAGGTGCTATTATTAGTCTCATTTTACAGATGAGGAAACTGAGGGAGAGATCGAAGTGATTAGCCCAGGGTCACATAGCTATTAAATGTCTCAGGCCTTCCTGATTCCAAGCCCAGAGCTTTATCGCTGCACCATCTTGCTGCCTAAATTTCATCAATCAATCCACAGGCTGCTAAGTCAGGCCCAAGAGGACCCTTGGGATTCTTTCCAACAGGAGAGATATAATCTATAACTATAAACTGGATGGCATCTCAGCCCCAACTGAGAATAGGAAAAATATTGCAGTAAGAGGCAAAAGACCTGGTTTTTAGTCCCATCTTGGTCATTTATTAGTATTTTAACTTTGGGCAGGTTACTTAATGTGACTTGACTGTGTCCCAGTTTCCTCAGCTATAAAATGGAGTTCATAATACTACACTTTCATGTTTCTGCCTCCCCAGGTTGAGGGATCCAGCGGTCACTCGTTCATCCATCCATTCTTCCACTCTTTCATTGAACAACCATTTATGAAGCACTTACAATGTGCCAACCAGTCTGGGAAGTATGTGTATGTGAGGGGGGTGGTTTACAAAGACCAGAGCTGATATTTCTATAGCACTTCAAGGTTACTTACATCATCTCATCTGAGCCTAAAAATCTTGTGAGGTAGATGCTACAGGCCTTACTAATTCCATTTTATAGATTAAGAAGTTGAGGCTCAGAGAGCTTAAGTGACTTGTCCATGGTCACTCAAGTAGCACGTTTCAGACAACTCATATTTACATATCAAGTTGGTTAAGATACGTAAAGCACTTTGGGAACATTAAAGCACTACATTTTTATAACTATGATCTAATTATTAGCATATTTTTATATGTCATACGTACATATATATTTAGCTATATGCTGGCTATCATTAGTATACACAGCATTTAGGGTTTGTAGGGTGTTTTCCTCACAATAACGATGTAAGGTATGTAGTGCAAGCATGAATATCCCCATTTTACAGATGTAGAAACTGAAGCTGGATGAGATGAAGGGACTTTCCCATTATCAAACAGCTAGGGATGAGATTTGAGACCAACGCTCTTCAAGACCAATGCTCTATTCTCTACTATGTTGACTCATATTTAGCAACAACAATATAACACATACCCAAATATATGAGTTCACATTAACTGTAATACAGCATAGACTATGCTAAGAAATGGAAGAGTGTGAAGAACTATATGAGATCTAAGAAAGGGAAAGGGAAATAGAATTCATAGTACTTGCCCTCAGAGAGCTTACATTCTAAGGGCGGCAACAGAAGTGCCACAAATAAATTAAAACAAGTGATAGAACTATACATAACCTCGCCTAACTCCCTTATTTCTGTTCAGGCTCCATCACTTTGGCTACCCAGGCTCACACCCTCAGGCATCTTCCCCTCTTCATGCTCCCTCCCCCTTCACATCTAGTCATATCAATCCGACCTCCTCAACAGCTCTCACAACTGTCTTCTCTCCAGTCATATGGCCAGGACTCTCGTTCAGGTTATCATTCCATCTTCCCTGGATTCTTTCAATAGTCTCCAAATTTGTTCCCCTGCTTCTCTATGTTCTCCTCAATCTGTCCACCAGACAGCTGCCAAACTGACATTTCTAATATCAGGCACAGGCCTGTCTGTGTCACTCCCCTACTCAAGAAATCCCAATAGCTCCCAAGTGCCTTTAGGATCGAAAACAAACCCCTCCATTTGATATCTAAAGCCTCTCACAACGTCTCCAAACCACGTTACCAGGCTCACAGCACTTCCTTCACTTGCTCTACATTCCATTCTATCTAGGAACTTGCTGCTCCCCATACATGACATTCTATCCCCTTTCTCTATCTCTATGCATAGGCTAGTTCTCAAGCCTGGACTATACTATTCTTCCCCAATGTCCTTCAAGGATCAGCTCAAGTGCCTCCCTCTAAATGAGGCCTAACCAATCCCTCTAGTTGCTAAGGCCTTCCACCCCCAGAAAATATGTGATATTTGTATACATACATATATTTATATACACATATATGTATGCCTGTATTTAACACATATATTTGTACTTTATCTGTGTTCACATTGTTCCTTCACCTTCCACCCTTTGTCCTGAATATAAGTTCCTTGAGGGCAGGGATTATTTTTTGTCTTTGTAGCCTTATTCCCTAGCCAACTGACACACAAGAGCTATTTAATAAATGCTTGCTGAATGAATAAATGTACACTATAGCTATGCTTTGAGTATAGGTTGAAGTTATCCTTTGAATCTGACTTGTATAAAACTCCAGAGCAATCCATAAATGATGTGACTTTTCAGGGGATACATACTCATTCTTTAAAGTCACAACCTTGGGCAAGTCACTTGACCTCTGACATGGTGAAAGCTAGTGCTTTCTCCTCTTTTTAACTAGTCTTTTTGGAAGTGACCTTGGGCACATCATTCAATGTATGCCATCGATGGGAACAACAGAAATACTCCAAAAGGAAGAGGGAATTTCTGCAACTTAAAAACAGTTTTAAATTTTAACTTTTACAGGGCTGTTTAAAAATAAGACATAATTGTTCCTCCTATTGGTTCTAATTCTTCCTTACAACACCACTAATGTGAAAATATGTTTAATAGGAATGTATATGTATAGCCTATATCAGATTGTGTGCCATCTTGGGGAAGGAGGGGGGAAGGAAGGTGGAGAAAAATTTAAAACTCAAAAGCTTATGGAAGTGATTGTTGATAAATCAAAATAAATTTTAAAAAATTTTTTAAAAAAAGAAAAAAAATAAGATATATTCTCATTCTCCCATATGGAGAAAATTAATAGGAAGCAGAATTTTTTTTAACATGAAGAGAAGAATTAATGTAGAGAGGGGAAAGGTCTTTTAATGTTTTTTTCCCTGTTATTTATAGGGCCACACGCCTAATCTTAGAATAAGAAAATAAGTTCACCCAACCAAAGGGGCAAATATCTATGATAAGTAACAGGATAGAGGGTTTCCAGGGAGATTACTGATCTTGAGATATGTACATATGTACGTATCTATCTACCTCTCTGGAAATTGTCTATCCTACACATATTTGTTTTCATACACACGCGTAAGTACATGGAAACACATAAATGTATGTATATGTGTGCATGTGTTTGTCACACACTCTTCCTTCTGAAGATATTTAGGATTTAAATTTATTTGGCCCCACATGACATAACAAATACCACAAATTATAAGAACAGGTTTTGTGAATATACAAAGAATCTCTGATATCACCAGTATGAAGAATACCCACATTGTTGTTCTTCCCTCCACCAGACTATCTGTGACTTAATATACAGCATGTCCCCAAAATCTTAATAATGTTCCAAGCTTTAATAACTTCAGAAATATAAAAGCTACAAACTTACAAAAATGTGAAAGGTTAACTATTTAAAATTTTAAAATACTTTTTAAAAATTGAAATTCAACATACTTACAAAATTAAGATACAGAGAAGTGTTCTACATTGTTCCAGTTGATTTTTAAACTTTTGCAAAAAATATTCATTAGTTCCTGCTCAGTGATTGAAAGCACTGCAATTGTAATTCTAGCTTTAAGATCAATGAAAAAATAAAGTTTTCATAAATGCATAGCAGTTTTGATGCAACCCCACAAGAAACGTCTAAAGGAGACAGATCAGGGGGACAGAGATGGCCAAGCAAGAGGACCTCCTCTACCGATCTATCCACCAGTCAAGAAAGTGTTATCCAGAAACAGACATGCAATACATAATGACAGGGGGCCTCAACTTATTAAAAGTTAATATTATTCAAAGTTCACAAAACTGAGTAAGTGTAAAAGAAATTTAATTAAATTTGTAAATGATTTGTTTTGCAAGTTTGGAGCATTTACACATCTGAAATTATTAAAGCCTAAAACTGCACTAAGACTTTTGGGACATACTGTATAAATACTAGTGAGTTCTGTGAGGCAAATGAAGCTATGCTCAGAGTCACAAAGCTGGCATTAGCCATCAGGATTTAAACTTTGGTCCTCCCAACTCCAAGCCCAACAATCTCCACCACTGGACAGAGCAGTGTGGAGCAGTGGTGTCAAACTCAAATTGAAACATGGGGCCACCAAACCAAACAAAAGGATCCTTGTGAGTCACATACTGATAGAAAATCACCTATTAACATTATCTATGTTCTACTGTATTTTTATATTCTATATTTCCCAAATTCATTTTAATCTGGTTCCAGGGCACTCTGGAGTTCTCACTTTATCTTTCTTAGTCTCAGTTTCCTCATATGCAAAATGAGGAGCATAACAGCACCTACCTCATGGGGTTGTGGCAAATAAACTGGTCTTCCTCTACAGAGGTCTCAACAGTTACTCCTCTGATCAAAACCCCTGAACTGGTTCCCTACTGCTAACAAGTAAACTTCAAACTTCCCGGCGTGACATTAAAGCTGCTCCCGCTACACAATCTGCCACTGCCCTGTATTTCTGGCATTTTCTCATCTCCTCCCTTCAAATGCCTCCTGCTCCCGCGAGACCGTACTACTCACCCATCTATTTCCTACACTTTCATACCAACTTGGCTTTGTTCACACTATTCTCTATGCT